AAGGTTTGAAGGCTTAGAAGCTAAACAAATTGAAGAAAATAAGTTCCGTCGAAAGTTGACAAGTTGGAATGTTTTACCATGTACTTTTGGGGTGAAACTAGGGTGATTTACATTATAAGGATATTATAATATGATTTATTTTAGTCGTATGATAGTTGGTGTTATGTTTTGAAGTCAAGCGAGCTGTGAAACAAAAGTTGAAAAAGGTCATCACAGGTTACATTCATAAATATGGTAAAATTTAGGTCAAATGTAGCTGAGCATTTCTCCCAATGTACTTGGAATTATGGGATGATATACCTACCAAATTGAAGATCTATGAGTCTATTTTCCAACGCATTTAACCGTTCATCGATACGGTAATGGAGTAGAGAGATATTTGCATTTTCGCGAGCCTGCGCAGGCTGGTAGGTGACAAGTAGGTGCATCACCTACTTGCCAAAATGAGAGGACTTAATTAAAAGCCCCAAAGTCGGCCAAGAGGGGTATTTTAAGGGACTATAAACTCAGTTATTTCACCTGTCTTTCAGACCAATAAAACCTAATTGAACCCCTGCAACTCCTCCCCAAAAATCCCACACAAACCCTAGGGTATTCCGGGTGTTACGACGCGATTCTAGTGCTGAAAAGTCCGGACAACTTGCTAGTTTCTCTTTCTCCTTCTTGTAGCCGTGTTGAGGAACTTATTTTTGATGAAAAAGGACCAGGTTTCGTGGGTTATACTCAGTACAAGGTAAGTTTATGCTTCTCCTTCCATTCTCTATGTGTTTGCGAGTTGTAACTCGATCGCAAAGAATAGAATTGGCTAGTTTCGAAAGAATGGTATGTTGTTTGTTCTTGTGTAATGGTTGGCTGGTTGTGAACTTATTTTTAAGTTGAATTCATGGCTGGTTTATTGGATAAGAGGTATAATGATGTACTTTTGGTTGTATTTCTCAATTTGAAAGAAAAGACAAGTCGAAACGTGTTTAAGTAAACTGAAAAATTATTTTTGAGTTGATGAACTTGTGGGACTGTTTTTGGGCTGTTTCGTGTTGGTATTGGGTTTTCTCTTTTACTACTGTTTTTATGGAGTTGAGAGGAGGAAGGGTGTGGAGAAACACCACGTAATGGCAAGATTGTTTGTTGGTCGTTCGTCGTAACATTTTGGGATTGTTTGACACTATTATGGTTGTCGTGTTGTGTATGAAGGGATAGGGGTATGTTGGGCAGTTTGTGATTGTTTGGACTAGTGTGAAGTCATATATATAAGGGAGGTGCTGTCCGTTTCATTGTAAAATAGGTTGTGGTCGATACATAATAGTTACGACGCTTAAACGATAACGAGAGTCTCATTTCTCTTATTGTAGACTAAGGAGCCGTGAAATTGCATAGCTTGAGGTTGTGAAGAATATACAAGGTATGTTAAGGCTATTCCTTCTTTCTTTTGGCATGATCTAAAGTGAAATGAATACGCTATTTCATAACGGATCTACTCCTAGCAACTAAGGTTGTCCATGTTGTTCTTTCCTTTTAAAAATATTCTAAGCATGTATGTATGATGCTTGAATTCTATAGAGGTTCATACTGATGGTATGATGTTCGTAATGTTAATAGAAGGTGCAACAACCATACGTCACTCCAAAAGGTTTAGAACGTGATTCCATGAGTCCAGCATGCATTATATATGTATCTATTTTACTCTACCGAGCCACGCTATAGTCGGCCGGGTATGACACCTATTGTGCAACCACTGATCAGTTGGGTTTACCGAGCTCCACGTGGCCGGGTACGATTCTACCGAGCCTTATGATGGCCGGGTATGTTTTTACCGAGTCCTCTTTGAGGCTGGGTACGATATGATGATGATGATGCCCACAGAGGCTTATGTTTTTAAAAGTTTATGTATATATATGTATTATGCATTTCATGTCAATAGCCCCCAGAGGCACTCCGATGTTCCAGGTTGTATCTCCTTTATCTCTCTTTACATTACAGTTCTTATTTATACTTTCCTGCCTTACATACTCGGTACTTTATTCGTACTGACATCCCTTTTGCCTGGGGATGCTGCGTTTCATGCCCGCAGGTCCCGATAGACAGGTTGACATTCCTCCTATTAGGCTATCGGCTCAACGAAGGTGTTGGCGGACTCCACTTGCTCCGGAGTTGCCTATTTGGTCAGCATGCTTTGGATATGTATTGATTGGTATAGCGGGGCCTTGTCCTTACGTTTATGATTTTATGTACTCTTAGAGGCTTGTAGACAGATGTCAGGTGTATGGATACTTGTATGGCCTTGTCGGCCTATGTTTTGAGTTTACAAATGGTCATGTCGGCCTTATAGGCCCGTATGTCACATGTATACGTTTGCATATCATGGTGGGTCGTCATATGTTGAGTATTCCCCTATGTTTCATTCTTGTTATCTAATGACGAGTTTTCTAGCTCATTTATCATGATAGTATGATAAGAAAGATATGTTATGTTGGCACTCGGTTGAGTAAGGCACCGGGTGCTCGTTGCGGCCCATCCGGTTTGGGTCGTGACAGATATACCCAATCTATTCTAATAATAGCCACTCAAAACTTTGATTTTTTTTGCTACAAATAGCTATTGGGTAATATTAGTAATATTTTATAAATTGGCCAGTTTTTATAATAAGCTACTTATAAATGGACATAGCTGGTAGTCTCTTTTCAAAATTTAGAACCAAACGCCAAACAAAAATGAGGAATTTTCAGAAATGACTAATGTTTAGTGGCTATTAATTTTCTACAGCTACCATATACATAATTACTTTCCGTAGCTACCTCTCAGTTGTTATGGTAATGTATTCGATGTACTACTGTATTCATGAATACAGTAGCAAAAATTGGCTAAAAAATAGGGCAGTCCAGCTGTCAGACGCTGTATTTACATGTATTCATACCATGTATTCATGAATACAACGTAAGAATAAGTCTCTCCAGTTGTTTAATAACGGAAAGCTGCTAATTTAATGAGATACACTCCTAATATAACTCACCTAAATCAATTAAAAGACACAACATTATCAATCCAATTAATGAGAAGGTTTATCAGACGCTAAACACAAAAAAATAGAGCATTCTTTAGAGTTTCGGTCCCTTTTTTTTTCCTGATACAGTTCGAGTTTTTTTTTCCCTGACATTGTTCGAGGTTCATAATAAACCTAGTGCTTGTATTCGATTTTCTGTATATGAATACATCATGTATTTATGTCGGATACAACCTGTAATAGTAACCTACCTGCATATTTCATAATAAACCTAATGCTTGTATTATGTTGTATCCAACAGTTGTGTTCAATGTATTCAAGTTTATTTTGTATTCACAATATTTTATTTATTCCTAATACATGGTATTACTATTTTTTTGAGTATATTTCATTGGTTGTATTCATTGATTTTCTATTTTGTATTGAGAGTATTTTACTGTATTGTTGTTTTAAATACAGATGGATACAATTAGGTTGAAAATACAGATGATACAGTTAGATTGAATGCATAACTAATTGATGAATAACATCAAAATGATAGAACTAACAATGTATTTAAAAATGTTGTTGCATGAACTCAAATACATATAAATACAATAGTCAAAAATCACTGTACAAAATAAAAACCATTGTATGCCTTATCGAATACATATAAATACATCTAAATACAAGAAGAGAAAACCACTGTACAAACTAAAAATTAATGTATTCGGACTCGAATACATATAAATACATCTACAATTAGGGTCATTGCATATTTTCGTTCTCCTTTCGACTTCAATGGTTGCTGATGAACCTGCAAATACGGGTTCCTCTTGAGTGATTTGCAAATCGAAAGATGACCCTTCGAAATTGAGTGCTTTAGTGGGTATTCTACAGAAAACCTAACAATGGTGAATATCTAAAAAATAACTATTGAAGAGAAAAAGAAGAAGCTTTAACCGGTCAAAAACTCAAAAATTTTAACACTTACCACAACTTTTTGGAGCAAAAAAATTGAAAATTGAGAGAGACAATGGCGCTGATAAAGGAGAGAGTTGGGGAGAGAAATTAGGAGCAAAAAATATTGAAAACGGCCATGGCAACTGCTAGGTCTCCATGTCGCCTAGAGAGAGGAGAGAGGAGAGAGGAGAGAGGAGAGAGAGATCATGGAGAGAGAAATAAGATACTATGCGGTAATTTTGAGAGAGAATAAACTGAAAGAATGAGAGAGAAAAATATTAGACAGCGTATTAATGGCTTAACGAAAGGAAGTGACCATAAATACATATTTTTGCTATAAAATCTAAAAGGTAGCGATAGAAAATAATAATTTAAAAGGATTTTTATTTATAATAAATAGGATGTAAAGTTTTGCTATATTAGGTAAAATTTCCAATAAAAATTCTCTTTTTTCCTCATTCACGGGCCTATTCACGACACAAGATGGAAATGGGCTCCCATAAGCTGTATAACAGGGAGAAATTCAAAAATAGCCAGATTTACAAGTGGTCATTCAAAAATAGCCACAGTTTCATAAGTAATTGAAATTTAGCCACTTTTCATGTAAAGATAAATCTGAACGAAAACACTGTTCAAAATCCGGAAAAACACTCCAGTATAATATGCTGGAGTTCCAGAATAAGTATACTAGAACTCCAGTATAATATACCGATCCAGCATAACATACTGGAGATTGGTATACCGGTGCTCTAATCTCCAGTATATTATACTTGAACTTTCCGCGTGTTGGAGTTCCAGCATAATATGCTGGAAACTCATACACAGGTGCACCGATCTCCAGTATATTATGCTGGAACTTTCTGTGTTGCAGCAAAATAATTGCTATTTTTCAATGACTTTGCAAACGGTGGCTATTTTTAAATGGCCAATCCGAAAATTGGCTAGCTCGTGCTATTTTACCGTATAACAAACCCAAATAGAGCCCAAAAATTCCCAGCCCAAGATTCTTCATACTAAACCCTGACGGCGCCCTAAAAAAGTAGAAGGAGAAAAATGTCATTTCAACCATCTCCTCTTCGAACCAAAACCCTAAACTTCCATTTCTATAAAATCACAGCAAAACCCTAAATCACCATACTCAAAGATCACAATGTCAAAGCGAGGCAAGTTTACTTCCCCTCTTTCTCACAAATTCAGTAGATCCTACTCAATTAAATTCAAAGCCCCTTAATTTTTATTTTTTTTTGCAAAATAATGTACAGGACGGGGAGGTTCCGCCGGGAACAAATTCCGAATGTCACTGGGTTTACCGGTGGCGGCTACAGTCAACTGCGCCGATAACGCTGGAGCTAAGAACCTTTACATAATCTCAGTAAAGGGTATAAAGGGTAGGTTGAATAGGTTGCCATCAGCTTGTGTAGGTGATATGGTGATGGCTACTGTAAAGAAAGGGAAGCCTGAATTAAGGAAGAAAGTTATGCCTGCTGTTATTGTTAGACAGCGCAAACCTTGGCGACGAAAGGATGGTGTTTTCATGTACTTTGAAGGTAAAAAATTTCTTTTGCTAACTTTGATTTTTTGTGCTGTTGTTTTGCTCTTTGGTTGTGTTATGCGATTTGAGTGTATCGGGTAGTTATGCTTTCTTTGCTTGTGTTTGAGTTTACTACCATATACTAGTAATGAATTTGAATTAACTATGCTTTAGTTCCTAGTTGGCGTATTAAGTGGACAAGTGTAGAGGGATAGGCCCATTGTTCATAGTAGTTAGTTAATAGTTCTTAAATGGCCATCGGGTATTGCTCGAATTCAGCATCATTTTGATTTTATATTAGTTTGAAGTAAATTGGTGATATCTTTTGTTATAAAATGTTAAAATTTGAAAAGATTGACCCTGATTGAAGAACAAATTGATGTTCTGTGGACATGAACTAACAAGTTGCTCTTGGTTGTTGGTCTTTCATTGTTAGTATAGATATACAGGCATATATACATGCATATGAAAATATATGTGCGCACACCGCTTCCACAATTTTTTAAGCAGTATCGGATGAATGGTTAATTTTTTGCACACTCTAGTCAGTGTATAGTTAGTGGAATGATCCTGTAATATGGTTTGGAAGTTGGTAATCTTTCTTCTTTTTATAGAAGTGATGTACTAATGTGTGGTTTATCAGTATCAGCATCCAATGAATGGTTAATTTCTTGTGCATGTGTGATAAGAATTTTTTTCCATCTAATAGATGAGTGTCGGGCTTGAGATGAGTAGGTTTTTAGTCTTTTTGGACCTAGCTCTGTCAAGGCTGACACAGTTCCTGTTCCATTTCTATCACTTTTGGTTCTCCATAGCGCTTTTCTCTCATTTTTTTGGGTTGCTTTGCTGGTAATGTAGTGTTGAGAATTGGACTTGAGTTTCTCTACACTTCCCATGACCAGCTAGAGTATAACCAATCTTCCCCTACCTCGGATGGTAACCTCATTTACTCTCCCTGTCAAGGTTGGGAAACTTACATGTCATTAATTTCTTTGGCTTGTTTCGTTTCCTACCTTATCTACACTTAACTCACATTGTTTTGTTGATACAGTGTAAAGGTCAACATAAGTTTCATTCCTGTCCTGGTTTGCTGTCACGGGTTTTCTATATCCATTTTAAGATTGTCTTCTGGATTGTTTTGAAAGAGGCCGTGATTTAACACCCTTTTCTTCACCAAAGACTTAGAGGCAATGCGTCCTTACCGGTTTCCTTGTAAGGGTTATTGTTTGTATTTACTGGTTTAGGGGTTGCCTTGATGCCTCTAAGTCCTGGTTTGCTGTCACGGGTTTTCTATATCCATTTTAAGATTGTCTTCTGGATTGTTTTGAAAGAGGCCGTGATTTAACACCCTTTTCTTCACCAAAGACTTAGAGGCAATGCGTCCTTACCGGTTTCCTTGTAAGGGTTATTGTTTGTATTTACTGGTTTAGGGGTTGTCTTGATGCATATATGGCCTATTGCTGAATAGGAGATGTATGCAGGATGATGTGATGCATCCTTCAACCAGCAAAAATGAACAATCAGATATTTAATCGAGTGGGATCTCCTCAGGTGGACCTCACTTTTCGCGATTCGATACATTCTCTCCTTAAATTGATCACTTTTTAGAGATAGCAGAGCTTTAATACATTTGGAACATATAATCTTGGTAAGTGAATTAGGCATGAAGATTGTAAGCTTTATTACCATAGGACTTTATTTATCTTGTTTCTGGTGATAGTAGGCATGAAGATAGCGTATCCGCTTGAGTAAGGCGTGTTTGTATAATTTTGAAGCTTAGGATTGTCACAGTGGCAGTTAAAATGGTTGTTTGGAGAGTAACAAGCCATTTTGTGATATAATGTTTTTCCCTTTATTATAAGTTACCTAACAGGAAATTTTGAACCAGACTTAGTCAGGTATTAACATTTTATCTTATGGTTAATACAGTTACTAGTCTGGGAAATTAATGTTGTCTATCGTTACAGATGTGCTCATACCATTCAAGCACCTCTGCTACATATGGGCACAACATGAAGGAACCGATTTCTTCCATTCTGCATACGTATAGGGAGAAATGGTTGACTTGGCCTCTAATGTTTTCTTTAGTTTTTTTGTAGTTTCATTTCTTTTGTAATAGATTATATAGTGTCTTTACATAAATCGATTTCAAAATTTTCTTATTATTGTGGTGTATAACTTAAACATATCCATGCATTAGTCAGGTAACAACCTTCTTATACTGTGGTTGATACAGTTACATGCCTGGAAAATTGAAGTGCCCATCGTTACAGATGTGTTGATTCCTTTTAAGCTCACGTTTGCTCCATTTGGACTCTACATATGTTATCGAGTTGTATCATGTTAAGCTTATATATTGTATTTATGTAATCTGATTTCAAAATTTTCTTCTTACTGTGGTGTGTGACCTTAACATATCCAGATATTAGTCAGGTAACAACCTTCTTATACAGTGGTTGATACAGTTACATGCCTGGAAAATGGAAGTGTCCATTGTTACAGATGTGTTGATTCCATTTAAGCTCAAATTTGCTCCATTTGGACTCTACATATGTTGTCGAGTTGTAGCATGTTAAGCATATATAGTGTCTTTACATAAATCTATTTCAAAATTTTCTTGTTATTGTGGTGTATGACTTAAAACATATCCAGATATTAGTCAGGTAACAACCTTCTTATACAGTGGTTGATACAGTTACATGCCTGGAAAATGGAAGTGTCCATCGTTACAGATGTGTTGATTCCTTTTAAGGTCCCATCTGCTCCATTTGGACTCTACATATGTTATCGAGTTGTAGCATGTTAAGCATATATAGTGTCTTTACATAAATATATTTCAAAATTTTCTTGTTATTGTGGTGTATGACTTAAAACATATCCAGATATTAGTCAGGTAACAACCTTCTTATACTGTGGTTGATACAGTTACATGCCTGGAAAATGGAAGTGTCCATCGTTACAGACGTGTTGATTCCTTTTAAGGCCACATCTGCTCCATTTGGACTCTACATATGTTATCTTGTTGTAGCATGTTAAACTATATCCGGTAGTTATATATTTTGCATACTTGGAAGTTTGCAAGGTGGATGGAATGCGCTCTATTTGTGTTTTGTACTTCTTAAGCACAGAAATGTTTCTGAACGTAACAGCTACTTTTGCTGAGATCATAACATATGACTTGTATGTTTTTGCAGATAATGCTGGTGTTATTGTGAATCCCAAGGGAGAAATGAAAGGTGAGGTTATGTGCTTAATCTTCGTCAAGAAAATTTAATTAAACTTTATGCAATGGGATATCTCATTAGACGGTCTACTCAGTTTTTTTTTGTTATATCATGTATGATATACACTGTTCAGTTTCAAGTTTGAGAGTAGCATTACATAGTGGCAGGGCTTAGTTCTTTGTTTAGCAGTAATAACAACAATAACAAATCTAGTGTAATCCTACAAGTGCGATATGGGGAGGGTAGTGCAAGCAGACCTTACCTCAACTTGTGAAGGTAGAGTTATGGAAGGGCCGAACCCCAAGGGGTGTGATGGGGACAACCTTCGTTAATGCAAGCATCAGTGGTTGCTTCCACGGCTCGAACGCGTGACTTATAGGTCACACGAGCCAATGTTCAGCAGTATATCAAGAATTTAAACTGTTTAGTTTTCATTCAGTGTATGTATTGTTCATTAGCTGCTTTTGGCTGCTGCAGGTTCTGCTATCACTGGTCCAATTGGGAAGGAGTGTGCTGATTTATGGCCAAGGATTGCTAGTGCAGCTAATGCAATTGTCTGAACAAAAATTTAACATGAAGATTTTTGAACTGTTAGTATTAGTGTCACATATACAAACAAATGTAACGATGTTGTATTGCTCGGGGAGTCTCAATGAATTCACATACTACCAATTATTTTGCTACTTAATAACAAACTTTGTGTAATTTTCGAGATCTTTCAGTTTGTCAAAGTTTTATGGTGTTATAATACGTAAGAGTCTTCTTGTTATTTAGGTTTCCCACCCGGTGTCAGGTGCTCGCATTAGGTCCAATTAAACCTGGATTCGCGCCGGGAAGTCCCACATTGGGAAAGTATTTATTTGAATTATAAGAATAGTTATTTAAATTATTTTTTTTTTATCTCCCTTAAATATCTCATTTAATTACAAATGTTACAGCTCAAAGGAGAGAAAAGGGAGCAATTTGGACAACACTAACTAGGATAGAAGTTCATACACCGTAGTAAATACAACCAGAAAAGGTTTTAAAAGAAAATAATAAACGTTATAAAATAATTACTGTAAAGTAAATAAATCAGACAAGTATATACAGATATATTATTCAACTTTAAATTGATGTATTGGGGTAAGGTTTATCCATAATGGAATACCTAAAGGATAAGCTTATTATACCAGATATAGATAATTTTCTTTCATAACGGAGTACAGAAAGGATAGCTCATTGTAATCTTCTACCGGGAATAATATTTATCCATAACAGAGTACCGAAAGGATAAGCTCATTGTACCGGGTATAGATAATCTTCTACCGGGGTAATGTTTATCCATAACGGGGTACCGAAGTGATAAGGTTCTTCAGAAGGCTTATTTCCAATAGAGTACTAAATAGATAAAAATATTTAAGGCGGAATCCCATATGGATAAGCTTCTTCAGGAAGCTTATTTACAACGGAGTACTAAATGAACATCCATAATATAATATATTTATAACACTCCCCATTGGATGTCCATTAAAAGATAATGTGCCTCACTAAAACCTTACTAGAAAAAATCCCGTGGGAAAAAATTCTAGTGAAGAAAAAGAGTACACATATTTAGTAATACGCATAACTAGTTGTCTCATCAAAAACCTTATAAGGAAAACCATGTTGGAAAAACCTTAGTAAGGGAAAAAAAGTATAGCACGTATTTTACCCCCCTGATGAAAACCTTGTTTCAAATATTTGAGTCTTTGCATTCCAATCTTGTATACCATCTTCTCAAAAGTTGAAGTTGGCAAAGATTTAGTGAATGAATCTGCTGGAATGTCACTTGAACGGATTTGTTGCACATCAATGTCACCATTTTTCTGAAGATCATGTGTGTAGAATAATTTTGGTGAATGTTCTTCGTTCTATCTCCTTTTATAAATCCTCCCTTTAATTGGGCTATGCATGCAACATTGTCTTCGTATAAAATTGTGGATCTTTTATCACATTCCAAACCACATTTTCCTTGAATAAAATGAATCACTGATCTCAACCATACGCATTCCCTACTTGCTTCATGACTAGCTATTATCTCAGCATGATTTGAAGAAGTAGCAACAATAGATTGCTTTGTGGAGTGCCATGTTATGACAATACCTCCATATGTAAACACGTAGCCGGTTTGAGATCGAGTTTTATGTGGATCAGACAAATAACCTGCATCTGCATCAACAACAAGATCTGCACTACCTTTGTTAGCATAAAATAAACCCATATCAAGAGTTCCCTTTAAATATTGCAATATATGCTTAATCCCGGTCAAATGTCTCCGTATAGGAGAAGAGCTATATCTTGCTAGTAAATTAACAGAAAAATGCTATGTCAGGCCTTGTAGCATTAGCAAGATACATAAGTGCACCAATTGCACTAAGATAAGGTTTTTCGGGACCAAGGAGTTCCTCATCCTCTCTGGAGGTCAGAACAGATCCTTATTCATTTCAAGTGACCGAACAATCATTGGTGTACTTAATAGGTGCACTTTACCCATGTAAAAGCGTTTTAAGACCCTTTATGTATAGGCAGCTTGATGGATAAAGATACCGTCTGCTAAATGTTCAATTTGCAGACCAAGACAAAGTTTTGTCTTTCCAAGATCTTTCATCTCAAATTCTTTCTTAAAATATTCAATTGCCTTTTGGAGCTCTTCTAGAGTTCCAACAAGATTTATGTCATCAACATAAACTGTAATTATAACAAATTCTGATGCCATTTTTTTAATAAAAATATATGGACAAATAACAACATTTATGTAACCCTCTTTCAGCAAATATTCACGAAGGCGATTATACCACATGCACCCAGATTGCTTTAAACCGTACAAAGATCTTTGTAATCTCACTGAATACATTTCTCGAGATTTTGAATTTGCTTAAGGCATTTTAAATCCTTCAGGTATTTTCATATAAATTTCATTATCAAGTGAACTGTACAGATGTATTTCAAGCTTTTCATGTAGTGCTAAACTGATGAGATATCGAAATGTTATGGAGTCCATAATTGGTGAATATGTTTCATCAAAATCGACTCCAGGTCGTTGTAAGAATCCTTGTGCGACAAGGCGAGCTTTGTATCTTTCAATTTCATTTTATCATTCCCTTTTCGCACAAAAACCCTTTTGTGGCAAACTGGTTTTATACCAGCAGGTGTTGGACTACTTGTCCAAAGACCTCTCTTTTAGCAGGTGCGTTCAATTCTGACCGAATTGCCTCTTGCCATTTTGGCCAATCAAATCTTTGTCGACATTCTTCGACAGATCGGGGTTCAAGATCCTCATTATCTTGATTAATATTGAGTGCAACATTATATGCAAAAATATTTTTCACCACTATTTCAGATCGATTTAAATTAATCCCATCACCGGTAGAACTTATTAAAAGTTTCTCACTCACTTGAGCCTTGCGTTCATTGATTTTTTCAGGAACTCAGAACTGATCAGATCTTGGGTCTCTTCAGGAGATCCCTTCATAGTATCGTTTTGCTAATTTTTCGATTTTCTTTTTCGAGGATTTTGATCCTTAGAACCCAAAGGCCTACTACGCTTCAGGCGTGCTTTAGGTTCACTAGCTCTCATGATAGTAGATGGTCTTGCTGGGACATCAATTCGGATAGGCACATTCTCTGCAGGGATATGTGACTTAGTTATTCCTTTCAAATCAGTAAATGCGTCTGGCATTTGATTTGCTATATTTTGTAAATGGATGATCTTCTGGACCTCCTGATTACATATAAGGGCACGTGGATCAGAATGAGATAATGATGAAACTTTCCACACAATTTCTCTTTTGATTTCCTTTTTCTCTCCCCCTAATTGTGGGAAATTAGTTTCATCAAACCGACAATCTGCAAATCGAGCAGTAAATCAGTCTCTTGTCAATGGTTCAAGATAGCAAATTATAGATGGTGATTCAAACCCAACATATATTCCTAACCTTCTCTGGGGGCCCATCTTACTGCGCTGTGGTGGTGCTACTGGCACAAATACAACACATCCAGTAATTCATCTCATCATTATTGATTCAAGATGGCCCAACGGCAATGCCAAAGCACAAAAGTATTTGAATCAGTAAACTTCTGATTTACGATAGAGTGTGCTTCAACTGTACTAATCTTTGAATAGTATAAGCCAGAAGATAAAGTTGGTAACTTTACTACAATGCATTTCTGGCCAAAAACAATCTTTGTAATATAAAGATATTCCATATTCATTTCATCTAGCGTCTCAACATAATACCCATTTCGGCGGATATCTATAAAACTCAACAAGTTTCTTCGGGACTTTGAGGAGAATAATGCATTGTCTATAATAAGTTTTGTTCCCTTAGACAGAAATATAGTGCCTCTTCCGGAGCCTTCTATCAAACTTATATTACCAGAAATTGTAAAAATATTTGCTTTTTTCCTTATGCAAATAAGAAAATATTTCTGATCTTTGAATATGGCATGAATTGTTCCACTATCAATTACACAAATATCTTCATGATTGGTCTTTGATCCAAACATAATTTGAGGATTATCGATATTCTTCAAAAAGACATAAACAAAATAAATATGATAAACATCATTACCAAAGCACAACTTTTATTTATGTACAACAATAACATACCATACTATGTATTACAAACATCAAAAATTAAAATATTTATATTTCTACAGATTCAGCACCGATCACATGACTTATTTCTCCTTTCGGGAGTGCAAAGTAATCAGCTACATCCAAATGCATGAAGTCTAAATTATCTTCAGAAATAAAATTTTCTTCAACAATTTTCTCTGTCTTCTTTTGGGAGGCTTGATAAAGCTCAACCAGGTGCTTTGGCGTACGACAAGTACGTGACCAGTGCCCTTTTCCTCCACATCTATAGTACGCATTTTCTGCATTTGTTACTTGCACCGCTTCATGCTTTTGTTCCTTTCTTTTTCACTGATGGTGGTGAGGAGGGTTCTTTGGTGCATTATTATTACCATGATTAGAGTTTCTTCCCCGACCACGGCCATGACCACAACTGGGGCCACGACCTCTTCCACACTTAGCTTGGTGGAAGTTCGTCTCATTCACTTCAGGGAATGGATAAGAACTAGTAGGTCGGCTTTCATGGGTTTTCATTAATAGCCCATTATGTTGCTCGGCTATAAGAAGATGTGAGATAAGTTCAGAATATTTTTTGAATCCTATCTCTCGATATTGCTGCTGTAGGAGCATATTCGAGGCATGAAAAGTGGTGAATTTTTTTCCCAACATATCATGATCAGTAATATTATCACCACATAATTTCAACTGGGAAATAATTCTGAACATAGCAGAATTATACTCACTAATAGATTAAAAATCTTGTAGCCTTAGATGAGTCCAATCATAACGTGCCTGTGGAAGAACGACCATCTTCAGGTGATCATATCTATCTTTCAAATTATTCCACAGTATGATTGGATCTCTAGCAGTGAGATATTCCATTTTCAAGCCTCCATTAAGGTGATGGCGTAGGAATATCATTGCTTTGGCACAGTCTTGGTTTGATGCTTGATTTTTGTCCTTGATGGTGTCTGCCAGACCCATCGCATCAAGATGAATTTCAACATTAAGTGTCGCGCCCCCTTTTTTCCCTCCTCGCGGGGAGAAGTCCGGGTTTCGATATTTTATGGGGGTAATAACTCTTTTCCTTTTGGGAATTTGGATTTTTGAAGAGTCACCACCTAACGGATTATGGTGCGTTAGGGCACCTGGAGTAATTAACTCATGAAACT